AAATGATCAGAAATTATAAAGTAATGCTGTGAAATTATGTCTAGTAGCAGTTATCGGGTGTATAACATGTAGAAAGAGAATTCCTGTACTAGCATACACTATGGACCTATCCCACACATGATAAAACCCAAGACAATCAGGTTACGAAGAGGTCCTGTCGACTGACTTGATGATTCCAACCACCGTCATCGCCACAGTTAACCAGTGTCACCAACGAGGATCTGTCCACAAAACCTGACCTCTGAAGACTTCTTAACCCAAGACCTTCATCCTGCAGTCAGCCATTAGTGAGAAGTGGATACAATTTCAAGTATTGATTTGCAAGGATTCAAGTGATTTCTAGTTAAATCACCACGACCTCGGCTTTGATGCCTAGTATTATTATAGGTGTGGGCTTCTGAAGAGTCCCAAACTAGGACGAAGCAGCTATCCAGTACTTTATGATTTTACATGGTTCCTTAACTTATGTCATTTCGCAGCCTAACTTGAAATTAACTAAATTCCTGTAAACCAATACTTGAGAAGTAATTTTCTCTCACATATACCATTGTATATTTTTTTTTTTGATTAATGTTGAAATTCTGAGAAGTTTTGTCTTGACGTATTTTTAATTAGCCAGTAATGAATTCAAAACATACACTGTTGTCATGTCTAAATCTAAATGCTCTAAATAGTTGTCTAATCCATTTGTTATTCGATTGTCATAATATCTAAAGTTAGACGGGTGTCATTTAATTCTTTTCAGTGATTTGCAATTAGTAGTGTTCTCTGAGCTGGTTGATTTAGTTGCGGAGCTTTCGTCGTCCTTCTGGACAACATCTTCAGCGCAATTTTTAGCCTTTGGTGAACTGATTTAAATTTAAATTAAATGATAGTATTGCATCTCCCGGTAACGAAAGCTCCGCAACTAAACCAACCAGCTCAGAGAACACTACTAATTGCAAATCCTCCACCTGAGCTAAAAAATCTTCTTATTATTTCTTTTCAGTCGTTTTGTTTTCTACAGTCCAACGAAAACATAACTACAGCATCAAAGTTTAAAGTTGCTGAAGATTCTCTAACCAATGGAAAGAGGATAAATTTATGCACACCTAATGTTATTCTAAGAATAATAATAGGAGATAATTAGACTGATCAAATTATACTACTGAATTACAATTAAAGTAGTTTAAATTTCTACGAAACAATAGACGGATTGAGTTGAGTAATCAGCGCAGAAGAAAGAATCATATATAAACCTACCTTGTAATACATTGGTTCAAAGTAAAGACAAGCTGTTAGTTCAGCTAAGGCTATATCATATTTATACAATTTAATTAAACTTCTAGCCATATAATAATGTGCTTGAAAGTGTGTTGGATCATTGAGCAGGACTTCTTGAAAATAATCCACTGCTCTCCTCCAGTTACTATGTTCATTAGAAGAAGAAGAAAAAATAAAAATATGTGTGAATAGTATAAGGCACCTAAATAGTGTTTATCAGAAAGGTTATAAGCGAAGATATAATGAAGATCGCAACCAGCTGTTTATCTGTCTTTTTCGTGTAGACATTAAAGGTGGGAGTTAAAACAGTTATTCACCAAATCTTGGTGTCAGAAATTTCTTTGTTCTACAATAGAAACAAAATTCCTCACATTCTGCAGATGTAAAACCCTTATAGTTTTGAAATCCTATTATATAATTCATGATGGTTTCATATTTTTCTGGTTCCAATGGGTAAAATCTAAGGTTTAGATCTTCTGCTGTCACCTCACACTTTCAGTAACAATCGAAAAACATCTGTTAATTAATCTCGAATCTTCCCTGAAGGCCATTCAACTATCTGAGACAGTTTATCTATAAAAAGGCTCGAAGTAAATTAGACTCTACCGCTGTCTCACATTGTTGTTTTTATTTAGACAAAAGCGCCAGATATATTCGTTGTGACTTCCTTGATTACACGTTCACTTTTAACTGAAGCCTCTTTACTAAATCTGGCATGCTGTGACACAGACTGGGCGCTGAGTTGATTACCAGTTACATTCTGACAAGAAGACCGGTGTCTTGTCTATCAATTGACTTTATCCCTATGAAATAAGAATTGCTTCCTTCCGGTAATTTTTACTATGTGCTAAGAGATATCTATTCGGATATACATTATTACACTGTGTTGTCTTAATATAACGTTTTGCAACCAAGTGAATATTTTGTGTGAGCATTCTATGTCCCAATGCTTAATTTCTGCTTTCATCGTAAGAAGACACGCTGGCTGACTAACTGCCCGAAGGCTTCCAATAACCCGCATCATTTTGTCTCACCAGTTCTAATGAAGAATAATTTTATTTCTTATATTTTCGTGTTCGGCAGTTTTTGTAACGATTGGACTGGTTTTTCGGGGTAGGGTGGCTAGGCCTAACTTTACTTCTTTTTTCAGGATTAGGACCATCCAGTAGACTGGAAGAGGTGACGGAGGAGAAAACCATCCGGTAGTTGTATGATGCTGCTGGCGAATAGACGATATTTGCGTTTTAATCGTTGCCATGCCATCCTAAGAGGTATTTTATCCAGTGATAATTTAGAGAGATATAAAACATTCAGTTTTTGTTAATTTCTTTATATTCTCAGTGAAACATAGGGCTTCAAGCTAGAGGCTTGAAGTTTCGATAGCAGTGGGGTTTATTTTTATTAGGGGTAGGGTTGCTAGCCTCGTGCCCAACCTTCTCTCTTTACCAGTCTTATTATTGACTTAGAGAGGTAAAGGAGTGCGTCCTTGGCCGGGGATCGAACCTAGAACCACATGTGTGGTTGGTGAGCATTCTACCGCTGTGCCACCGACCCACAGGGAGATATAAAACATTCAGGAGAATAGTAATACTCCATATGCAAAGAAAGGTCTTCCATAGCTGTGCGTACTCACGCCGGTAACCCACAAAGTTTTCCTCCACTTATAACCTCCCAACCCTGTGGCTGTCAGCTGTTTTCGCTTATCGAATGAAGGCCATTTAACTCATCAAACAAAGAAGAACCTTATATATATACGAAACTGCTTTCAAGCGTTTCTCACTGTTGATCAGAGACAGTAAAAGATCTCTACTCAACACTTTGTCTTCTTCCTTTCTTCTTTGCGTCACGTGTCAGTGGCATCATTTTTTGGTGGTTATCGTTGTGAATAGGGATTAGGCTCGCAAATCTACCAGCTCAGAAAGGCGTTAGAGCAAGAGACTCGTAAACAACCAGGATATATTCGATGGTCATATCAGGAACTAATTTTATTTTTAATTATGGTAAGGATCTGACTGTTTCTGTACTTGTTAATTTCCATTCAGAGTTTCCCAAAATGAATCACGTTTTATCAGGAATCATCTAGTGGTCTCAAGTTAACTCCTTCAAAATGTCAGACTGTTAATTTCGCCTTCATGCACTAACCAATTTATATAAAACGATCCTTTCCCACTAAAGTACAAAATATTATTATTATTGTTTCCTTTAATTCCTAGAGGAACATAGGGCTTCAGCCATGCGTCTCCATTGCGTTCGGTTCTCTGCTAGAGTCTTCACCTGGCTCCATGTCTGCCCACACGTTTTCATCTCCTCTTCACATGACCTCCTCCAAGTCACCCTTGCACTGACGACCAACTCGTCACTTCCCGTCCGGGTTCCACTCGAGCGATGGCTTGTCTAGTGATGTCACTTGATGGTTTCCTCAGAGTATGGCCAATCCATCTCCATTTCTTCTTGCCTATTTGTTTCACAATCGGTTCCTGCTGGGTTGGTTCGCTCCCAGAGATCTCTGTTGCTGATCTTTTCTGGCCGGCCATCTGATCTTGAGTATTGAGCAAAGACAACTGTTAATGAAGGTCTGTAGTTTGTTTGAGATGCTCTTTATGACGCGCAGTGCAAGTCTCTGATCCGTATGGTAGCACTGACTGACTTCACATTGGAGTTGAAAATCCGGATCTTATTTTTGATGGTGAGTGCTGTTGACCTCCACACAGACTTGAGAGTAGTGAAAGCTTGTCTTGCTTTTCCGATTCTTGCTTTGATATCCTCGTCAGTTCCGCTAGCCTGTAGTTGAAACGATTCTTCCCAGGTAGGTAAAGGAGGTTGTTTCTTTCAGGTTCCTTCCATTTATGCTGATTGTTTTCTGTTGTTGGTGGTGTTGCCCAGGAATCTTCATCACCTCTGTTTTCTCTATGTTCACCTGAAGGCCTATCTTCTCTGGATGCTTCTTCTGCCAACTTGTTGCTTTTCGCTTGCATATCTTCCAGTTTGTGGGAAATCAGACATATATTATCGGCGAAGTCCAGATCCTCCAAGCTTTTTTTGTCAGTCCATTTTATGCCTGTCTCCTTGTCGCATTATCCAA